GCCAGAAAGTGAACACATTTTTGTTTTGTCTGATATTAGCCCTCCTTCTAGTGTTGTTTGTGTTTTTAATTGAATTTTATATTTTTAACTGCATTTTAATGGTTTATATGTTTTACGGTTTTTGTGTTTACCACCTTGTGGACCCTGATCAGGTGGAAAGGCAGTGTAAAAAATTTTAAATAAATAACACAGACCAGAAAGCAAAATACATCTGGGCATGTTTGCAGCCCAGGTTCATATGAATTCAGGGACATGGAGTCCTTTATTCAAACACAAATTATGGGTTCCCCCATTCAACACTAGAGTTAATTTTTACGTTAAACAATCATTTATGAAACAGCACTTAAACTACAAATGGCATAATTCCAGTGCAAACCTACCGGAGGAGGAGGCCATTCCACAACCAGGGAGCCAGCACTGTAACAGTCCTCTTCCTAGCCACTATTTTCCTAATTTATGCAGGCAATGATACTGCTAGCAGGACTTATAACAATGCTGTTAGTTGAGGGATACACTAGAGATTCAATAAACTTGCCAATTTAGCTTTTGGTCTAGAACACAGAGGGATTGCTAAGCACCCAGCAGGCCAGACAAAAAGTAGCACTTGGCTTGACTAATGAGGCCTTCTGCAACCTCTGTTCTAGTTCCTGTGCCAGCTTGGTAACTAAGGTGCAACTCAACAGCATATTGTGTCCCAGCTCTTCATACATATCTAGGGAAGCATTCAATGAGAACCAGATTGGCCCCTCCTACTGCAAACATTCCAGACAGGTCTTGGAAGCATTCTGCTGTAAGGAAGGGTCCTTGATAGGTATTACAAATAACATAGATTGTGTATGGAATTCTCCAATGCCATATGAAGTCTTCAGTGGGTTTCTTTTTTAAAAGGAAAGAAAAACTACTAAAGGTACATTATTAAAGATGATTCAGACACAACCGTGCCTGAACCCAGATGTGAACTCAATGTGGTTTTTGACTTTCCTCCTAGATAAACTGTGCAAGGTCAAATTGGCCATTCCATGTTACTGTATCAAGTGAATCTCTTGTCATAAGCAGTGTATATGTGATGATGTTCAGGGTGAATGTAGTGAATGCTCCTCTCTTCATGGCAGTGCTGCTTAATGGATGGGGGCATCAATGCTCCTGGTCTCAGGTGAACGTCCTTGCTTTAAACACATTTAAATAAAACTGTGTGAAAACAAAAGGAAAAACAAAAAGTATACAAAACTACTAAAGCACTACTGCAAAAAGTTAGAAACTGCTAGGAAAATCCCACAATTTTGCAGTCAATCTTTTGCATGCTTAGTCATACTTTTGTACTGAGAAAAGTTACACTGACCTGTTAACTGTTATTCATTGGCATGGGGGGGGGGTGTCTTCTGTAAAGCACACATTGGGCATGAACAGAAGCCACAACAATGAACCAGGTTCTTCTAGACTCACACTAGCACTAGCCACTCAGTGAATTATTGCTTGACTGGATTTTGACTAGGGTTCTCAGAACAGTTTTGATCTGTGAAATTCAGTTAAAGACCAACATAGCTCTGCCAGTGTTTCATGCATTATTTGTTGCTAGCTACCGTGTTTCCCCGAAAATAAGACACTGTCTTATATTTATTTTTTCTCAAGAAGACACACTAGGACTTATACCACAAATGCATAGAAATCCTGCTAGGGCTTATTTTTTGGGTAGGTCTTATTTTCGGGAAAACAGGGTATGTAGGAGAAAAGATACCATTGGTGTGATCCTCACAGACTGCCTTTAAGTTATAGATAGGGCTGTCGTTGTCACTAACCCAAAAGATAGCTGCCCAAAATAGTGTCAGCTGTATTAAGGGTTTTGGCAAAGGCAAGGTAGAAATATTTAAATAAATAATAAAAAGCATTGCTAGAATACTAGTTACAATGCAAGAAAGTCACTTCCCTTCCCAGAAGTAGGTTTGTGTTTGGTTTACACTTCTTTTGCCCACAAATAGCAAAGAATGGAAGATATGCTGATGCTGAAAGGCACAATGTGACCATGCATAACCACAAATCAAGCTGCGAATTTCTCACCATAACATTTGCTTTGAGGGCAAAGGCTCTAGTAACCTTTGGGGGAGAGAAGGTTCTGGCCTGGCAGAGGGCACACCAGATGCCAAGTAATCTCTGAAGCCCAGCTCCCCATAGTCACTTCAGGGGGGAAGTGAGGGTTCAGTCTACCTTCACTCCTGAAGCAACAGGTAGAGTTCAGAATCGCAGCCTGAATATTAACTGAGGAACTGAACTGTCCTTGTTTTTCTCAGTTTTTCTCAAACCTAGCAATTTATCAGCTGGCTATAGTACGAAGGCCAAGGAGCTTGTCCCTCCCTGGATCCTCATGACCCATAGTCTGAGAATCTAGGTTTTATACAAAGGAGACATGCATGCAAAGAACAGATCAGGAAGCAGCACTACTGACCAATAAGCACTTCCAATGGAAAAGAGGACAATACATAGTAACTAAATGTGTAACAGTGACCTCTGCTGGCAAGCAGGATATGCATTCAGGAATTGTGGCAAACTCTACGGTCTCCTCTTTGTCCAGCAAATTACATAGCATATGTATCTTTAGGGCTCTTTTTTATTCATGGGAAAGGATAGCTACATTGTTCAAGAACAAAGAGTCCACTGCATGGGATTTTGTTTTTGTTTTTTTGTTTGTGTTATTAATTCCAAAAGAAATTATTTTCATTATTGGCTGCCCTATGATTTTGTTTCATTATAGGTGTTTTCCTTTCCTAATTCTAATTTTTTTGTATTTTATTATTTCCTATTGATTTCAGCACACACATAGGAGCTGTCATGGTTTCCCATCCAGTCTGCACAAAATTCAGGGCCACTGTGGTATTCCCTGAGGACACCCACACTGCCAAATTTCAGAGCTTAATGCTTTTTGAGGCCATGAAAGGCACCCATATTTAACTTTAAAGTCTGTCACAGAATTTATAGGAAAGGTTCCAAGCACTAACACAAACTAGGGGTGTGCGTTCGCCTTAACCAAACAAAAACAAATTCTGGAAGAATACCTTATCGGTAAATTGGGGGTATCATTTAAGCCGAATACAGTATAGCTGAGCCTGGGGAAAAAAGCCAATTTTTTTTCAGCTTTCATTTGCGGGTGTCCAGCTGTACCGAGAGCCAGCCAAGGCCATGGGGAGCTCTCGGCTCCATGCCGCCCCAGCTGATCCCCAGCATGGCTTGCAAAAGGCATTTAAAGGGAACATGTTCTCTTTAAATGCCTTTTGCAAGCCACGGCATTAAAGTGAACTCTGCTTGGGACTCCATCCATGTGGCACAACTTGCAAAGGGCACTGAAATATCTTTTGCAAGCGGCACCACACAAATGGAGTCCCAAGCGGCAAATCCCAGGTGAACTCGCCACTTGGGACTCCATTCATGCTGTATCACTTGCAAAAGGGGGGACCCCTGGCAAACCGGGGGGGTTGGCAACCCTATTTGGAAACAACAGAGAAGCACGGAAGTGCAGAATGCAAGGGAAAATTTGGCACGACAGCCACTGGGAAAAGAGAGAAAGGCAAAGTCCCAATCCCTATCCTTCAGGACTGGAATACCTCACACATGAATATAATCCTAGTCACTACAGCTTGCAGTCAATTAAGAAAGCCCAAAGCCTTTCTCCCCCTAGGGAACACTGTGCTCTCCCTTTGCCTTTACTAGGAAAATGCTGGGTACCTTGTAAAACTGAAACCAATGGCTCAAGAGACTACAATGTCAAAACAAAACAAAACGAAAGAAAATCATGGCTTTTTCAGTATAGACTGCTTAGATGGGAAACTTGTTTTAGGGTTGCCAGCCTCTAGGTGGGGCCTGGGGATCTCCTGCTTTTACAACTGATCTCCAGCTGACAGAGATCAGCTCCCCTGGAGAAAATGGCTGCTTTGAAGGGTGGACTCTGTGGCATTGTACCATGCTGAGGCCCCTCCCCAAACCCCACCCTCTCCTGGCTCCATCCCCAAAGTCTCCAGGTATTTTCCAACCCAGACCTGGCAACCCTAACTTGTTTTGTTTTCATATTAATTATGATACACACTATTTTCATAATTATTGTAATTAATAAAGGAAACACACATCTAGCTGGCAGTCAGTTCAAGTCAACTGGCTCAGTTGTAGGATTTTCAATACTGAATCTGATATACAGAAAAGGCACATCTACAGTAGCCTGTTGACAAAAGCTTTATCATAGAGCAAGCAACATTGTTTTTCAGTCCATTATCTGGCTGTTTGATTGTGCTTTTAAGAAGAGCACTGGATGTTAGGAGACAAGAAAATCTCTGACTGCATCTAGAACAGCATCCTATTACTAAATAATAAACAGCACATGCAATATTTCACATCTCAGCTTCTCTAAAAAGTAAATAATCCAAATATAAGCACATTGTTTTTATAGCATTTAAACAATGGCAATTTACAGTAACAGCTTTATGTTGCCTTTATAGGAAGGCAGGTCACAGCTGCAAGTAGTACTTTCATAACAACTTGCACATTGCTGTGCTATCAAGACAGATGCAAAGTGACATTATAATGGTTTCAGGTCAAGAGTAACATGCAACTCAAAAGAGTCATGAAGCCAAGATTAGCTTTGGTTGGACCACAGCTGTGCAGCTGGTGTGTAAGACCCATGTGCCAAGCTGGGGGCTGTCAAATGTGTGTGATCTCATATTTATGGAGCAATGACTACCACAATCTTGTGTCTCAGAACAAAATGAACTATGGATTTTTTAAAAAAAAGTTTCAAAATACATGTTAACTGCATGTTAAAAAAGCAATCACATTTATAAAGAACAACAGAATTCAAATTATTGCTTACTATACTTAGTAGAAAATTACTTTATTATACAAAAGTCAAGAAAAAAAATCCAAGTATTTGTGGAATGCTGCTGACAGTTCTGTTAACCTCAACTGCATTTAAAGTAGACGTTGGAAAAGCATTCATTTTACATTTTCCTGACCAGCTGCCACGGCACCAGCATTATTTGCAACAGGATGGGCAGTTTGACTTGTCTATTCCTTGAATTCCAAGAACTGCTGTAGCCTTTTCTTATGTTCCGGAGAGACTTGCACAGCACTATATAGCAGAACAAACACAGTGAAATTAGTCAGCTTTGAATGACACAAGCACATGTGAAAGCACACAAGTTGGGAAAAGGCTGCGATGCCCCTTCTGGAAAACATGATGCCCAGCAAACTGATTTGAATTAATTACTTTCCTTTAATATATCCAGGGCTTTTTTTTGTAGAAAAAGTCCAGCAGGAACTCATTAGCATAATAGGCCAGACCCAACAGCAGAAATTCATTAGACCCCTGACAGCACAGCTCATTAGCATATTAGGCCACACACCCCATGTTTGCCAGAAGTGTGCTCATCCAGACACACCCACCTTTTGCTTCTTATTCTGTTTACCTTGTTTGTTGTCAAAACCCAGGGCTTTTTTGTAGCAGGACCTCCTTTGCGTGTTAGGCCACACACCCCTAACATAGCCAGTCCTAATGAGTTTCTGTTGTTGGGTGTGGCCTATTATGCTAATGAGTTCCTGCTGGGTGTGGCCAACTCGGGAGCCAGCCGGAACTCCGTTCCTGTGCATTCCTGCCCAAAAATAGCCCTGAATATATCCAATTCAGATTTAACAATGTTTGCTGAAACCTGGAATGACTCTCTTATTTATTTATGAGAATACACAGCAAACTCTTGCACCATGTTGCTCTCACTGTCCAATACTGTAAAAAGTCTAGACTGAGGTCAGAGAGCCTTTTTTAAACCTATCAAACCCACAGAATAAATTACTCAATAACCTATTATATACAGCAGTTTTTAACATGCAATTTAAAAAATCCTTAAGGACAGCTGTTAAGAAGTGGTTGTTTTCTTCAACAGATGGCAAACTGAGGTAGAGAGTGTGCAGTTTGTTTAAGGCCATCCTGGGTTGCTGAAGAAACCTCAGGCTGGTCATTTGCTGAAGTTTTTGTTTGTGGAAAGTTCAATTCTTATGTTGACTTCAGAAGCCAAGAGTTGTAGCTCATGGTGAGATAGTAATGTATTGCCATATGGTTAGATTCAGCAGTAACACCATTCTACAACCACATGGAAATCCAAGGAAATGAAGGGATGATAATACCAGGCTGAATGGTATGATCCAAGGCTACCAAAAGGAAGAAGGCCCTTCCTGTGGTAAACCCTTTTAAGTTGTTACTACATGGCTGCCATTCACCTGAATCCACCTTCAGGAGGAAAATTATACACACAAAAGTGCAGTGAAGGTTTCATATGAAATTCTGAGAACTGGATTTTTTAAATTCAATGCAGATATTATTACAAGCAGGCTACTCTTCCAAGAGGAATAATTTTCTTTTACAATTTCATTCATGTCCACCTACAATGGATTCTGTGTACCCAATATCAGATCATACAATAAATAAATATTATAAAATGAACATTAAGACATCCTGCAGCCCCCAAAACTCACTTTAAGTGTTCTCCAAACTTTGTGGTTATTCGATAGATAGCAGTTTTCAGAGATGCTCTCAAAGCAAATCGAAGGGTTTTATAGGAAGTGTCTGCCAAATTCCCTGAAGTCCTGAGAGGTTTGCTGGAAACATGAGGAAGTTTGAAGTGCTTGTCCACTACCTAGGATTGACAAAACAAATCAACTGGGAAATAAACATGGTGGTAGCAAAGATACTCGAATTAAATAAAGGCAAGTCACCAAAAGCTCGCAAGGTTGCTACTGAAACAGAACAAAAGATGAAGCTTCTCAGTAATAATGTAGCCTAGGAAAATCAAGTTATAACAACCCATTAAAAATCCCATTTCGACTACACCACCCAATGAGATATCATGAAAATCCCTCGGTAGAAGGACTAAATTACCTGTCCTTGGTAATGTTCCCAGAATTACTTTAAATGGACGTAGCTAATTCTTTGGATCAGTGATACGCACTCAGTGGCTTGGGAGCCACACACATGGCTCTTTCACATGCCACCTGAGGCTCTTCTGATTACCATTCCCCAACAATGTGCCTCCCTCATGTTTCAGGAGAATAGGCAAGGCCACTGCCCAGTGATGCCTGTAATTGGTGGTGGTTTCCACCTTGAAACAGTTCCCACTGGAGGACAGGTAAGTAGCAAGCTAGGGATAGAAATAAAGGGCTTATTTCTCCACCAATCCCTACCCTTCTTCACAGCCTCCGTGCTCTCAGCTCTGTCTGCAGCACCTGGACAGTTCCCAGAAGGAGAACAAACTGGCCACAGAGAGACAGTAAAACCACCACCACTATGGCAACTACCCAGAAAAAGAGCAAGCAGGCCACACTGGGGTGGGGGTAGTCTTCCACCCGTTTCTTCACAACCAGCTTGCTTTGGGAATCTAAACTGCTGTGCCTTGTGCTGGGGAGAGAGTGAAAAGGCAGGGAGGGAAGTAGAGGGCACACGGTCTTTCTGCTGCAGGAGCCTGGTCCACTAGTGAAGAGGTTTCTGCCTTGAATACCCCATTAATTATTTCCCTTATTGCACTGTTGCTCTTTCTATGGCATGAGGCAGACTAGCCTTGGCCATTGTGCCGTCATCCAGTTGTGAGCCTCACGACAGGGAGAAAGCTAGAAGACAGCAAGGCAAGTAAAAGGTGCTCAGACTTCCCACTGCAGGAGCCTCCTTTGAGCCAGCCCACAGTGCTGCCTTGGAGCCTCCCTTTGGAATGCTCATGGCCCAACCCAAGCAGGCTCCTGCAGGGGGAAGCCTTGAGCAGCCTTTACTTCCAGCGCTGCCTTCTTGCTCTCTCCCTCTCCTCAGCATGAGACAGAGCAGGTTCCTACAGCTGCTGGCTAGACCCAAGAGAGTCAGGTCTGCATTGAAAAAGGAGGTGCTTGCCCATCCTTCCCCTGCATAGCCTGCATACTGGAATGTGGCTCTTTTGGTTGATGGCAATTGTGGATATGGCACTCTTTGAGACATGCAGCAAGCACCGCTGGTTTAGATCAAAGGCCACCATGGCCTTTCACAACATTTCACTGCAGACCAGCTCTGGCAAACCCTAAATAACAGATACACTAGTATGAACCACAAAAGGGGTGAAAGACCAGCAGATTTTACTTAAATTATCAAATCACATTTGCATTTAGATGACAACTCTTTAAAAAGTTTAATCTCAAAAATCCTTTATATTTATTCATTTTGCTATTTATTTATTTAATTTATATCCCGCCCGCCCAGCCAGAGAAGGCTCAGGGCGGCTTACACAGAATTTACTAAACAGATAAAACAGAAAATTGAATAAAATCACAATAAATATAAATACATTACATAAAGTGCTAGTGCGGATTGTATAGCGATGGCAGGCACAGGCAGCATCCGACATAAGCATACAGTCAGCTGATGTCATAGTCTGGATCATATTGGCAGAGCACAGGCTGTTGATGGTGGTGTTAGTATTGGGGCCAGGGCCTCAGTTTATTGGGTGCGGCTTGCTAATTAAAGGTCTGGTGGAAGAGCTCCATCTTACAGGCTCTGCAGAACTGTAAAAGGTCCCGCAGGGCCCTGATATCTTCCAGGAGCTCATTCTACCAGTACGGAGCCGCCACTGAGAAAGCTCTGGCCCTTGTTACAGCCAGCCTGGCTTCTCTGGGGCTAGGAAGGGCCAAGCAATTTTGGGACCCCAGTCATAGTGCTCTCTGGAGAACATGTGGGGAAAGGCGGTCCCTTAGGTACGTAGGCCCCTGACCATAAAGGGCTTTAAAGGTAAGAACCAGCATCTTGAACTGAATTCGGTATGCTATGGGCAGCCAGTGCAGTGCTTTTAGCACAGGCTGGATGTGCTCCCGCATGGGAAGACCCAGTAGCAGCCTGGCCCCGCATTCTGCCCCAGCTGCAGCTTCTGGATTTGGGACAAGGGCAGCCCCATGTAGAGAGCATTACAGTAGTCCAAACTCGAGGTGACCATTGCATGGATCATTCTTGCCAGGTCATTGCGTTCAAAGAAGGGAACCAACTGCCTAATCAGTTACTATTGATGAGTAACTATTGTCAGGTTTCAATAGGACTGGAACTGTAGCACAGGAAATGTTGCCTTTGAATGACTAGATCTTTCTTCCATGGTTAGCTTTGAATATGTTTTGAAAGAGCCATGGCAAATGAAACCAAGGTAAGACAGTGTGCATTAGGAGAAACATCTTTTTTTCCTAACAAAAACAGCTGTACCATAGCAGGCAAACTATGTGCAGACATCGCTTTTGCCAAGAAAGGTTAAGGCTCCTCACCTCCTGAAGAGTTAATAGAGTGTTCAGAACAGACGGCAATGTCGTTTGGACCACTCCATATTTATCTTCAGTAAATGAAGCTGCAACCAGATGAGACAGACCTCAAAAAAATGAAGAAAAGAATTGATTTTAGTTTGTACAGGTGGAATTACATCATTGTCATGAAGTCCTGAAATTTACAAAAATCTGTATTCTGACTGTCACTGAACTGACTGCCTAGCAACATAAAGATGAATTCAGTATCCTACCCAAAGATTAGCTTCTGCTGGCTGTAGTTAGAGCAAACAAATGTTTCAAGAGAGAGAGAGAGATGGGGAAAAACACAGCGCCAGTGGTGCTCAGAATAAGAACAAGCCTAAATGTTTCTCGATGGCACAGAACCAAAACAACTAGAACACACAGAAACCAGGGAGTACAACAATCCCAGGACTGCTGGTTATCCTCAGATGAATGTCACTGCCAAGGCACCATGAGACACAAGTAAGCCACTGAAACAGATCAAGTTTAATTCAGATAAGAAGACACTGCTTACCTTCCAAGGCCCAAATGTGCATTTGGGTATTAGAAAAGAGAGCCTGGATCGAAGCCTCTGGGTGCTGAGAGAGAGAGAGAGAGAGAGAGAAGGATTGCACACACCTAATTAGCTTAGCCAAACAGAGTGTGCCAAATACTGACATACCTGGTCAAATTTGTAAAACATCATAATTAAGAGCTCCTTATGTAAAGGTTAATACGATAATACTTGGAATATAAAGCATATTGATCCCCACACACACCTTCTTATAAAAGAAGCAGCCCATGATATTATTGCAGTTTAGAGTTAGGCTAACCTTGACTTTTCATCAAAACAAACAGTTAAATGTGAAAGTTGCCATCTTGCAACTGAAGTGTCAATTCACACAGCACCTGTTTCAATGACTTTGGTGCCAACTTCTATTTTGAAATGAACAGAGATAAAATTAGCAGTAGTTGATAAGGCAGGAAATCATTGCTGACTTATGCATTCATCCTCACCTTGCTGAAAAAATACATTATCAACACTCGTTTTGACAAGAAACTCTTTATCTAGAAAGAAAAAAGAAAGAAAACCAGGTAAGAGCCAAGCACATCTGCAGCTTTTCTGAGTGATACACAACTTCCATTTGAAATTATCAAAACAATTCAAAAGATGTAAGCTTCACTGACTCACAATCTTGGAAAGTATTTAATTGGAATTAACAGTCAATGGTTAAGAGGGAACATACATCTAAGGAAGTTCTTTTGATTTGCTACCTCTACCTGAGAAAATAATATAGAAACACTAAATGGCAAGCCACATAGCTTTAATCAGTTTAGGTGCTGCATAATTTTAATAGCACAGAGATTTTAATTTTTCAGGTTCTCAGAGGAACAGAAATACATTCCTTCATTACACCCACAGGAATGGTGTCTGAAACAAGTTCACAGAATCCCCAAAACTGTGCTGAACTAGCAATACTGGAGAATACAACATATGAAAAAGTCCGTTTGCACTAATCAACTGAAATGCTAATGGCTAAACTTACAATACCTGCTCTTTCTTGCTCTGCAGCCATAAGTAGACAGAACTTGGCTGTACTGCTTCATTACTCATTCTTGCAACAGCAATCGTGGGGAGGGACTCCTGAAAAGAGCCTGTCCATTGCAGGTCTACGAGAGAAATCCAACCGGTTTAAAATAGGCCAGCAAGATTTTCTCACAAATAGCCAAGAGAGGGGCCAAAGAAGTCATCTTACCAGAATAGGATGTCCATAATTTTGGTCCTCTTCTCATAATATGGGGACTTTGAACAGACCCATGCCAAGGAGAGCTTAACTCCAGCATTCCAGCCTTGCGACTTAGTGGGGAAGGAGTGAAAGGTGACCCTAAGTTGCTTCCAAGATCTGTTACAGGTGATGTTTTCAAGGACAACAGAGATGATTTAACCAGAGAAGGCATTTGGGCTCGAGGAAGGATACCAGCCGTTGGTGACTGGAATGAGTGTTCTTCAGCAGCTGCTCCTGGGGACAAAGAATGTTGTAAAGGATAAGCTCAGGATGACTTATGCCAATAAGTGGTGTCTCATAATTAGGCCCTTATTAAAAGAAACTTACTCTACGTGTTAACTTGCACTCACCATAAACTTTCAATTTCTTCTGTAGTACCTTGAAAACTTGTATAAAAGGGTGATCAATATACTTAAAAATTAGAAAATAAATACCTAAATGCACAATACACAGCATCTAAGGTGTAGGAATATAACCCTGGTCAGAGAAGTTACATTCTAGTAAGTCTACCCAAATTCAATGGATTTTGCAAACGAGTTACCAAAAACAATAGATCTTTACTGATGTACGTAGGAAGTCTGAAGGGTCAAAGTGGTAAACAAGTACAGCATAAAACGTAAAATGTGAATACTGACTGGTGTTAACATATTTGTGTCAGCTATGTTCAGACAGTCTGATTCTTAGAGGCACTTAATTCTTTACACAACAATCATGCTTTCCACAACAACATTCATGTTTCAGCATTTTTCCATAGTGAAGTATGACATGAAGATGTATGCCCCTAAACCTGCAGTGGCTAGGCACTATGGAGGCAGAACCCAAGTTGCCCACTACATGTCTGCCAAGTATTAACAATGTGTTTTTTCTTGCCAGTTTTTACTGTGGGGAAAATCATTTCCATGTAAAGTGAAAAGCATTATTTAGGCTGTTGCACTATATTAGGAAATAGCTCCAAATGTACATGAGAGGAAGATGCCGCTTGGCAGCCTTCCTTGCTGCTCTGTGGAGGCAGCATTATTGCTAAGTTACCTCATTCTTTTTGGAATGTGATTTTTTCCTGCCATCTGATATTTCCTCTGAGATTCAGAGACACAAAAACGCTGTTCACAGTAACAGACCCATCTTGTCACCTGGAGTGTCGGGCACTTTTCTCAGGTCTCCCACAGACGGCTGATTCAGTCTCCCATTCGTAGCTGTGGCCTCCTGATGTGCTATCAACTTGAGGGTCAGATTGTTTAGCAGATTCAAGCACTCCCTGGAAACTGCAGTCCAGTTGTGAGGATGTCCCCCTTTCAGACAAGCAGAATTTATTTGAAAGGGATAAACAATTTTTTAAAAAGATTAATTTTTCAAAACTATCAGTTATTTCACAAGCCCTTATTATCACTGTGAAGTAGAATATCAACTTCAGAATTCCAAGCTAAAATAGTAACCTCCTAGGTTAAGTCATAGAGGAGACAATGGCAAACCATCTCTGAATGTCTCTTACCTTGAAAACCTTATGGGGTTGCCATAAGTCAGCTGTGACTTGACCATAAAAGAAAAGTTTTAAATCATAATTCTTTTTTTTACAGTTTTCCTTTACGGTACAATATGAAGGCAGTCCAAGTTAAATGCGATCCCAAAATTTGCCCATGGTTTAAAAACAATGCAAACAGCCCAGAATTTAACCCAAAGTTACAAGAACACTTAATACTATCACCTACTGTGATCAAACTGAAGGGCCACAGTTGTAGCAGCAAAGTCACCACTGGAAGTTAGGCTGCAAAAACTCACAATCGATTCCAATCTAAGAAGAATACGTTCAGATGCTTTCAATTATAGCAGAAGCATAGTTTGCTTTGGAAACTGCAAGGGTTACACACATGCCATCCTGAATCCCATCACACTCCGCTACGGGCACCATGGTACTAGCTTGCCTTTTTAACCTTCAGATGTATGCTGGAAAAATCCTTCAGTTCTTTGGAGTGGAATTTGTCAAGCTCACCAGCGAAATGTCAGGCTCACTAGCAAAATGGAAGCAACTCTGCCTAAATTAAATTAGCCTCTGACAAAGTACTTCCTTTTATCTGTCTTAATGGAACAAAATAGTTTTCCAAATACCTGGCTGGCTAAGGCTGAAGACCTCTTGCCGGCGAACAAAAGAATACTGGGAGAGAAACATCAGGTCCTGTAAAGCCAAGAACTGCAAAGGAAAATGTTTAAAAGGTCTTTACAAATTACCAGGTTGGTCATGCTGATCTACTAAAATCTCAAATTAGGATATTCTCACAGCATGTAACAGTTATTTCATTCCTAGAATGTTACCAGGTAAGGAGTTTTTGACTTTTTGCTGTTTCAGAATATCTGCCATGATTAAGACTCCCCCCCCCCCAAAAAAAACATCTCCTTTCAGACATACTGAAATGAGAATTGCATTTAGTAGATTGGGGTTTTCTGACATGAAGAACAAGCAGATACGAACACATAAAATTTCATCCATATATTTGCTCATGCAAAAGAGGACTGTAGATCTTTTATTTTAATTGTAAATTACTCTTAAATTATACAGAAGAGGCTGATTCAATCCCTGCTTGTTGGAAAGAATTCACAAAACAATCCCAAGATTCCTCAAATGCTGAAGATAGAATGTGAGAACAACAGCTATTTTAGATATCCAAGGAAATGTATAAAGAATCATTTTGCATAAATTCAAACATCAGTGTTTATAAATGTAGACTGTAATGGATTAAGATGTCATATACTTGGATTAAGATTTTTTTGTGGTGATGAAGCTTTTGAAAGCATTTGACTGAGTTAAGCTAATGCTGTTAATACGTTAGGTGGGGCAGACAAAAAGGTTTAAAAAGGGTGGGGGATGAAGCAGCAGGGACCTAGGAAAAGGAGAGGAAAGAAGGTAATCAGGGTGACTTAAGAAAGAAGCTATAAGAATATGAAGAAGAAGAGATGGCTGGAGCTACAAGGCTTTAGGGAAGACAAACTAAAACCAGAAAGCGAGAGATAAGATCAAGAAAAGCAGGAGATCAGGAAAGCTGAAGATTCCTATTTATCTTGAATACCAGCCATGTCCTTGGATTCAGGGCACTAATGCAATGTTTGTTGTTTATGTTATTTTAAGATGTAAGCGGTCTATCAAAACCTTCCTACCTTTGCTAGTGTGATTTCTGTGTATGCTAAGCAATAAAAACTATGCAAGAAACAAGTGCACTGAGATAAATGAACTTGCTTACCTTTAAAATAGGTGGAGGATTGCTGTTTAAAATTTTGGGTAAGCACTGATCTGTTTCTTCTGTAAAAGTTGGCTGTACAGGAAAGTGATGTGCCTGAAAGAGGAGCACATACTGTAGTGGAAGCAAGAATAGCAAGCAACCCTGGTCAGTAAGACACTGGTGAGAGTATATTTAAATTACTCGTCATTTGCAAATCTGTTGAACTCACAGAGAGGCTTCCAAGCCTGCCCTGATGGGGAGGGGAGGGGAGGGGAGGGGATGTAAATTTCTCCACCTGGAAACAAGTAAAGCAACTACAAAGCGGTTTCTGCTAAACAGTAACACATGTGCCCCATGTTGTTTTTCAGTAACAAAAACTGCCCTGCCGTGGTATGGTGCAGAACATACTATACCAACCTCAGTAGAATATATTCTGAAGAGTAACCATGCAATGTACCAAGTAATCAGCAGGATCACGCCACAGAGCCAGCTGTGGTACAGAAGAGATAAATCCAAGAGACCAGCCACAGTGTCTAGAGGATGCAATTTACTGAAAGACAAATAAATAAGCAAACAAAATTAGGGAAGCTATTTTTATGTAAAATACTCTTCATTTATTCCTGGGTGGAGATTTACTTTGCCTGGAAGGAACTTGACAGGAGATGCTCCATAATAAAAAATAGCATACTTGATTTCAGTGAAGAGTTTATAAGGGACCTATAAGGGACCAAATTCTTCATATCCTAACAGTGTATTTTCCAAATAGTTGTCTGCCAATATATTATTGAGGCGTTTACCATCAATACATAATCTAGTACATGCAATACAAATAGCAGGGAACACAGTGGGCCACTGAGCATATTTGGAAGTTGTGCTCTCACTCCTTCCCATTGCCAAAGAGTACTACCACCTCCCAAGTGGCTTCAGTTTCTATTCCTTTACGTCTCTCCAAAGCTGTTTGGGACATAATTACCTTCTTCCCTGATGGGCAGCTGCTTAGATAATGTCTGTGTCCCATCACGATTTGCGAAAACGAAGAGGAGTGTCTTCACTGCAAAGTGCCCAGTAAATAATTAAATAAGATTGTACTGGATGTTTTACTGGTACTCACCTATCTATATGAAGGTTCATTGTTGTAATTATCCATGCCTTGGGAATATAACCTATGATGCCATAAAAAGGAAATCAAACTGTTAAAACACAGGAATGTGTTTACATCCATGAAAAGCAAGAATTTTCAGGGCAAAAGTAAAACTTTCAACAAGAAACCCAAAGATGAAAAAATGAAAGGTATGAAAAGTATGTCCAATACAATGTATGTGCATCTAATATCAAATGCAAAAAATCCCACCTCAAAGTTGTATTTCCCCCAGTGCTGGGGGGGGAGGGGGTTATGGCTATTGGCCACCCTGCAAACAAGAAAGATCAATAACTGTACATACTTGAGCCTTCTCTGTTTTGACTTGGCGGAAAAGCCTGTCTGAAGGGGTCAGAAAGGCTCCCGCATCACTAGCATTCCACAGAATGTGCAAATTGGAATGGTTCAGGAGGACATTTTATACAGAATATCTTATAAGGAATACCTTGAGTCTGTGTTAGAAAAGTGGGTGATGTATGAGGTAAGTGAATGAATAACAACTCCTCCCACACAGCAGGGGAAAGAGCAGCTTGGAGATTGTGATTTTTGGCAGGAAAATAATATGGGGGGGGGAGTTACCTCCCCAGTTCCCCCCAGTTTCCCACAACCTTCTGGCTTCAGTCCATAACACTAAAAAATTAATATGATTATAGAAACCTCAACTGTACCTCCATCCTAAGAGTAGTCTTTTAGTTCAACAAAACTCAGTAGCCACATCCATTAGCCTGATGCTTCCATATTCCATGAAGATCCTCATGATACACACAGCCTCACCTTGTGGCTATTAAAGCAGCCTCTGCTGCTTCTCACCTCATACCCCCTATCCCATACTTTTCACATCTAAAGGCCCTTTTATATTATGTAAACTATATTATATAAACAGGTAATGCAGAGTCAAGCCCTACTATCCTCTTTGAGCAATTCTACACAGTCACTTCTCCCAGCAACTTTAACAGCACAACCCTCTCTCATACATTGCAAGCCCCTTCCACGTATGTGGAGGATGAAAGAAGTGTTCAGTAGTGATAAGCTACTTGTAATATCCAAATGAAGCTTTGCTGCCTAAGACCAAGCTCCATCTAGTCCAGCATTTTGTTGGTTACAATTGCCAACCAGATTCCTATGGGAAGCTCAAAACAGACTGCATGATTGTGAAAGCCAAGGGTCGAAAAATACATTCACCAAGGAAAGTGTTCCCCCCCCCAGCATGTTTGTCTCAGCTGCCCTCCTGCCTCCTTCCTCATTACCACCAAGTGCTGAGCCCATGAGCTTTGTCCCCTTCCCAGCACTTTCCAGCACCAACCAGTGCTCAGTGCTGATGATGCCTGTGCCCTCTAGCAGCAGATCCTAGCTAGGCCAAAGATGCTGCGTGGTAGACTGCAGCTGCTTACACACCAGGAAGAGCTGTAGATGGAGGAGGAGGGGGAATTGCTTCCTTAGCACTACTGGTGATGGAATACAAAGAGAAAGGAATAGAGGAGGGGGCTGCAGTGAACACAGACACAGAAGCAACTGTGGAGTGTCCCTTCCCAGTGCCAAGTCCAGCAGGAGTGGAGGGTTCACAGATCCCAGTGGTGATGCACTTTGAAGAGCATCTTCCTAGTACAGTATGACATGGATGATTCCATGAAATTGGATCTGAAAAGGGAGACTGTGGATCATCCTTGCCTTTGAGCCATACTTTCCACCAGGACATCAGAGACAAGATTCCACCCTCTGGGGTAGGGTTGTGGCAAAGAAAAATGTTGGGCTAGGTTCTGGTGCTGACTCAGATTTATGGTTCCCCAATAACTGATTTGTCCTAAAACACCTGGCAAATAGAAGTATACTGCCTTAGAATTCACCCAAGTACCTCACCTCCTATTCCTTTCATTTAAAGAAGGGGGAAAGTAAAATCTTACCAAAAAAGTAGTAAGCAGCACAGAAGTTCCTAACCATATAAAGAGATTCCACACAACTTTGCTTTGCCAACAGAGGTAGAGATCTTCTGAAACGTAGGTATTTGTATTGCTAAAAAATATTAAACATGTTCAACAGTTTCAAGACATTCTCCACCGTGTATATTTGATTTGAAAAACAGTCAAGATGGTTTCAAAAACTACAATTATACCAGAGCCTTCGTGGAAAACCCCAACACTAAGACCTCATTTTCTTTTATGGTGTCTCTTGCTTTTTGAATACTGTAACATTCTGCAGTACATTGGCTACAATAAACCACTATATATTCAAACAACTTCAATACATATGAGATTGGGCAATACCAAGAATCTTTATACCACAACCACATCTTATGGAAGAATAAATCCTACACCTAACAAGGTATCTACTCCAAAAACCAGTAACACAGTCAAGAGCATACATTAAAAAGAATGGCACAGCTGGTCCAATGATAGAACACTTACGCTTGTGTTCTTTATGCAGTTACCTGTATGATTGGAAATGGAAGGTAGTTCATATTGTGAACAAGGTATCGGAGGCTATAGCTGTAACCCATGAAAGCTCCAAGGAGTAAGAGAAAGAGGTGGTATTCATTCAGGCACATGTATGGAACATCATCAGCTGAACTGAAGCAAAATAGTATTTTAGATTTTAAATGCACAAAAAAACAGAGGAAAACAACTCTATATGTAATTCTACCTTTAAAGTAATTATTTTATCTGACTGCAAAGGGAAAAAAATAAATTGGCTAGAATTGCTTTCTCAGAGCTGAAATAACAATCTCTGCTAATTTTATAGACTCTCTGTTTATTGCTGAAAAACGGAAAGCACAGATGTGACGGACTGTACTTTTAAAAAGCTTAGAAGTGCTGTGTAAACAGATGAAAGACTGTAAAGGATTAATTCTCCACAGAGCCTTGAGTAACAGCTGAGCAGAGATACACTTAAGAGCTGCATGCTGAGAAGAGAGTCAGTCAGATTTCTGCCTTGACTGAGAGCAGCTTAAAACAGACAGGAGAACTGCAAAAAGTTGGCAAGGACAAGTGGGTGGAAAGACAAGATGGAAACTCCCATTCAGGCCAAGGAAATGGGATAGATCTGGATAGAGAAGGAATTTCCCTACCCAGTCTAAACAGGGTGATAGCTCTGAAGAATACAGAGATCCCTGGTCTGGTGTGGTTAGAATGAAACTGCCTGTAAAAACCTTAGGAGTCAGTTAAAAACTCAATATGAGTACTGGTGTTTCAAGAGAAGGGGTTCAGGTACTGGAAAGCGTGTATCAGCCTTGTGGAAAACAAAACGGTCAGAGAAAGTATGCTGGAGTGTTTGGAAAACACTGGAACAAAAGCCTCTCAAAATAAAGATTTAAGTCACTGTGAAAAGCTTAGGGTTAGCCTGAACCATAAGAACTAAAGTCTGCACAAATACTAATTTTACCTCAGAGTTATCTATATTGAGTTAACTCAGAAATTTTACCCCTGATTTCACCTGACCTTTCCCCTCTATGTTGAATAAGACATTTTGTAAATTTGGAATATAAAAACTTCTCGAGTGCCATTTAAGTCGTATAAGTTAAAGTGGGCTCCCATTCCTTCCCTCAGGTTCCTGGACTGAGCCAACAGCCAAAATATTATACCACCATGATAGGGGTGGGACAGCCAGAGTTCTTCAAGAAAGAAGAAAACAGACCGTTAGGGCTGCTCAGTCAGAAAGGAAAAGAAAAACGGAGGGAAATTCTTGCAGATCCCTCAAATAAGTACAAATCCTGAGCTGGCTTAACACAGAGGGTAGACCTGCAGTACTTAAGTGCAACTGTGGAGAGTGCTGCCTTTTAACAAAGTTAAAGTTAGTGTTTTAAAAAGTATCAAGAGTGCACAGAGACATTTGGGTGAACAGAAATAGTTTCTCTTGCCAGAAATGTCTGGGCATCACACAGCAGCAGCCTCTGACTGTGCACAACCAGGGCTGTAAACCTCATCCACTGGGCTATTAGTTGTGCTAGTTAGAGTAGGAATTATGTTTCCCAGCAACCATAATTTATGGTTTGAGAAAAGTAATTTGGTCACAAAGTTACAGCTCAGTTACAAGATGTTTGTCTCCAGTACAACCAAAGGACTGTAAGTAGAAATTTTCTAAGAAACAATCTGTATAAACCATTTATAATTTCCCTGCCTTCTATACTCAAAAAGTCACTTTTTTACATTATTTCTTTCCATGTGAAATTATATACTTTAACAAACAGCTCTGTGATCACCAAAGCTCACCTTTCTGAAGCTGTGCAGGGTACAGATAAAAACAGGAACTTTCCCTTAGTCATAACTGCGGCACACCAAGCCACCAGCATTCCCATTACAGCATGCACAACTGAATGGATCACTTGCTGTGGATGGATAACCTTGCTAATCAGTGCTAATCGTGAGCAAGGAATAGAAGGCACAACTGCAAAGAAAGAAAGAGAACATATAACCTGTCCAAAAACAAGTCACTTAAATGCACCAATTTGCATGTTGCATGAAACTGTTGAGCAGTCGGGTTAGGACGGATAAAAGGAAGTACTTCACCCAAAGAGTGATTAACACATGGAATTCACTGCCACAGGAAGTGGTGGGTGCTACAAGCATGGACGGCTTCAAAAGGGAATTAGATAAGCATATGGAGCAGAGGTCCATCAGTGGCTATTAGCCACAAGGTATAGATAGGGACTCTGGGGCAAGTGATGCTCTGTCTTCTTGGTGCGTGGGGGGGTCAATAGTGGGAGGGCTTCTGATGTCCTGGCCCCACTGGTGGACCTCCTGATGGTACCTGGTATTTTTGGCCACTGTGTGACAGAGTGTTGGACTGGATGGGCCTTTGGCTTGATCCAACATTGGCGTCTCTTATGTTCTTATGTCATACATAGGTCATGAATGGCCATTCTGAAGATCACTAGTTGTTGTAGATGTTGGCTGTGGTCTTGGCATTGTAGTACCTGACGTTTCACCAGCAGCTGTGACTGGCATCCTCAGAGGTATAACATAGAAAGATAGAGTACTCTCTGTGTCAACGTGAAAAGAAAAATGGTAGGCAGGTAATCTCTATCTACTCAGGAAGGTGGGGTAGGGCTGAGTCATTATCTTGTAGGAGTTTCCCAGGCTGTGACATGCTAATGGAGGAGCTTTCCTGAGGAGGTTCTTTTGCATATGGATTGGCTGTTGAAATTCTAATCTTATCTGTAGAGCTTTCCTGAGGTTCTTTTGCATATAGATTGACGGTTGAAATTTTAATCTCATCTGTAGTGCTGTTGTAAGATGTAGAGCATATACAAAAGAACCTCCTCAAGAAAGCTCCTCCATTAGCATGTCTCAGCCTGGGAAACTCCTACAAGATAATGACCCCACCTTTCTGAGTAGATAGAAATTACCTGCCTACCATTTTTCTTCTCATGTTGACACAGAGAGTACTCTATCTTTCTGTGTTATACCTCTAGGGATGCCAGTCACAGCTGCTGGTGAAACGCCAGGTACTACAGTTCCAAGACCACAGCCATACAGCCTGGAAAATCTACAACAACTAATGAACTCTGGCCGTAAAAGCCTTTGACAACATACTGAAGATCACTGTTCCTCATTTAAGTGTTTAAGATGATCAAAGAGTTTAAGGTTTGGTGAGAAATTCTTCCAAACAATCAGACCACATTTTTGAGAAGGGATAGCTGTACATGGCCATCATCAGAGAGATTCTTAATGATATTTTGAGGCTTTCAGATTAATAGACATTTAGCAGCAAAGAAAGCCTCCACCATGAACTTTTTTTGAACTGCCTTTAAGTATTTGTACTTAAGTTTTAAAATAAACAATTTAGAGCCCTACAAGAGGTTCATCTTTAAAATTATGCATACAGTCTAAGGGGGAAATGGAAAAATTTAAGACTCAAGCTTCAAATCTTATTGAACACATACTTCAATACCCACCTGCATGAAATTCCACATTGAAGATACTTATTACCAATATCACCACCGACATCAGTAGCAAGCAAAAGATAACATAGGAAGTATACAAATCATTGAATGAGCCTAAAAAGAAGAAGAAGTTTTTAGAAACTACTATGAACATACATCTAATGCTATAAAGGTTTAATGCCCAAATGTCTCAGCTGTGGCTGAAGAAGTCCTTGGTTTACTTCTTCCGTAGACCATTATTTAATTGGCTGGCCTTAAGCCACTCTCACACGGCCTCAGGCCTCCACACACAGTAGGAGTGAGACACTATCCTATGCCTGTTCCTGGATCATCTGAATTAATCTTCTACTCCACCCCAGTTTTATAAGATCAATTACCCTAAACTGGAGAGTCAGTAAAGGCTGGTAAAGATGCCTGTTTCTGGATCACCTCAAAGTCATCCCTTTTATCTCTCCCCACCTCCTGTCAGAGAACTAAATATTCTCCTTCTATAGAAGTTTTGTTTAGCTTTTGTTTCAGACATCAGTATTTTAAAATTGTAAGCTGTCTTGAACCATGAGGAAAGGTGGGACATAAATGTTTTAATAAACAAAATCTGTGCTTAGATCTATCATCCTCTCTTTCACCCACATCTCTCCTACTGGAGAAATTCTGTTTCCATTTTAAACAGAATCATTTGCATTTTGCAAGTACTGTAAGCTACTTTGGGGGTTCCAAAGAAAAAGTTCACTAAAAATCTAATAAACAATTCTGACCTACCTTACAATGTTACAGTATTGTTCAGACAATACTAACTAACTGCTAAGTACTATTAGTAGTAAACAGTCTCTGATTTAAGTCTGCTTAAGTACCCACTTGTGATCCATTGTATAGGGTGGAATAAGTCAATAGTGCTAATGCTGATGAAGGCTGCAGTACACACAGGAAGCAGTAAAACAGACCAGGCAATACTTGCTGCTGCTCTCCATCCCAAAATCTAAAAAGAAAACAAGAACACATGAAAACGCTTTGCCTCCTAAACCAGGCTGCATCCAAATTACCTGAATAAGTAGTTATTTAAAAACAAATGTGTACAGTGTTTGTAGTGTTAAGGAAATGTGTGACTTCTAAAACTAAAATAAAGGACAATGGTAGCAAAAGCAGCATGACCACTTTGCAACCATCCAATGAAGAGTGATGTATTTTCCATTAAAATTTGGGGGAGAGGGAATGCAAGAATTAGCCTTTTCAAATTTCAAAGCATTTGCATCTTGGAAAGCACCCATATTATGTCCAGTTTCAGTCCTATGCGCAATGGGCCCCATATGTTAAAGGCATAGCAAGTAGCTACCCTGACTGGCACATCAGGGCTGTGTTTTCAGACAGGCCTCAGATTTTGATGTGTCGATCCACAGACAGATTTGCATTCATTCATGACAAGGAAACAAGTTCATCTTTATGAGTAAAAATAGGGCTGTAGTAAATGGAACTGGTCCGAAGGGAGCTTTCATAAGTGGAACAGGGTTGTAGTTTATTGCTACCGGTACTTACTATCTCGTTTCTGCTGTGCTGTTTGTAATCCAGTTGCTGCTTTATGATACATCTTACATGGTTTTTTTATTCTAGTGTCTTCCTAACTCTGTAATAATCCTCAGCAAGAAAAGCAGACTCAGACTATGAGTAAATAAATATAGGCATGGCCTATAGCTGAATAGGAGATGGCCTGTGGATCGTACTCAGTTCTGACTTTCTTGGGGAGATGCAATACAAATATATAGAATCACAAGCCTCTCTTTCAACCTCATTAAAGCACACTCCATATGCAGATAAGACTCCAGCCTCTCTCACACATCAGCATCTGAGTTCTCCGAACATGAACAACACACATAGGACTTGGGGTTGCCACATTTTTCTCGTCAGTTCCTCTGTCTTTAACAGTTTGTAAGATATGCAGGTGTTCAAGGAATACAACATTTACTGATACGGAGAACTGTTTGCATGGCATTAACAAACTGGCAACCCTATGCTGGACATTTGTTTTAAAAATGGAAGATAAGGCAATTCTACCACAGTATTTTCACATAAATAAACCACTCCAGTTTAACAGATATATCTACATTTCATTTCTGTCCTTACCAGATGAAGAGTTAAAATTATGAGAAACAAAAAGCTGTCCAAATTTTACTCCTGTGCAACAAAAGTAAACTTATCCACAATTGAAATACTGGATAATGGGGGGGGGGGGTGAGGAGCTATTAACTGGGAAGCCAGACAAGACAGAGAGGCACTGTTGGTGCATAGTATACCAGACCATGGAACCTGGTTTCAACTGAGTCTGAATGTGATTGTACTGTCTTTTAAAGGCCAAGTTTACAACCTGAAGGTGGTGTTAGAGCACAAATTTCTTATGGTTGCACAAGAGAGGTCCAAATGCCTTTGACCTACTTTGGCATGCCAGTTGCAGCCCCTCTTGAAATGCTCTTGCTATTGTTAGGTGTGCCTTATGAATATGCTTAGTGTTGTACATTGGACTCCCTTTCAAGACAATGTTCATTCAGCAGTCCTGTTTGCCCAGTGCTTATCAGAGTTAGAAAGCTAAGCAGGGTCAGCCATGGTCAGTACTTGGATGGGAGACCACCAAGAAAGACTGGTCATTACTCAGAGAAAGGCAATGGCAAGCCATCCTCTGCTCACTTCATGCCTGGAACACCATGTGGAAAGAGTCATCATGAGCTGGTTGTGACTTAAGCACTTTTTCCTTTTTCCTCTCCAGTGTTTATATCCAGTGATATCCAGTGTTTATATCCAGTGTTTATATCCAGTGATAACCCCAGTGTTGTAAAATTATCTGGTGAAAGGGCCTACATAGGAGATTATTCCAAACATCTCAGGAGTTTTGGACACTGTATGTCTCAGGATTTTTTAACATGGGGCAGTGCAAGGGGAGAAAGGAAAGATTTTTTGCAATGCTACTTTATTATTTCACTGGTGAGGGGGGAAGTTGCTTTCGTAGCAGTCTTCCTTGTGGGACTTCAAGTGGTTAAGATCATCTTGGACTGTACCACTTAAGCCTGTAGGTGGAGGGAGGTGCATGTTTGAAAATTCCAGAAATATACCCCACTCTGTTTACATTTAAGAAACAGCCTTACAAGAGCAATTCATTTCCGGGCACAATTCAGTGTGCTAACTTTCAAGGCACTAAACTCTTTGGGATTTAGTGTACCTGTGTGACCTCTCCCATGTGAACCTGCCCACTAAATGCTGCTGTTGTCACTGCGACTACAATTTACTATATCTATTGTGGTGTATTCAAAAAGACTTACATGAATCACTGCATTAACTCTCCATGTTAAGCTCGAGCCAGAGGAAGGCTCCTCCGAGCCAACTTGCTATTGGTAGCTCCACAACAGAACTATACCAATTCCCTGAGAGGGAAGGACTTTCATTGGACGTTATCCGCACAACCTCATTGGTTGTTTATTGTAAATAGGTGTGGCTATGTTAGCCTGGGAATGTTTAAAAGGAGCCTAGCTCTCAATGTTAAGTTGTTCTGGTTATGACTTCTTTCAAGCGTTTGTTCGTACCTACAATAAAGCTGATCACATTTGTTGAAATCACTCTCTGGGTCTGGCATTAGTAGCGGCTGTCAAAAAGTTCCATGATTTTATTTTTGGTAGGAAATTTGTGCTGGTCACTGACCACAAGCCGCTACTGGGGATTTCTGTGCCTGATAAGCAAATGCCTAACGTTTTGTCCCCAAGGATGCTTAGATGGACGATATTTTTGCAAGCATATGATTTTGACCTTGAGCACCGGCCTGGAAAGGCCATTGGGCATGCGGATGCGCTCAGCTGCTGCCCCTTGCCCGACCACGGGACAGACCCTGCCCCTGCGTGTGATGTTTTAGCAGTTGACGAGCTCCCTCTGGCACCAGTCTCCTCTAAGGACATTGTGGTGCTGACAGCTAAGGACAGCGT